TGTGCATCCCCTCCGCAGTCCCAGCACCAAGTGGCCAACACAAACACGCTCAGCCCACTGCGGGCTCCTCAGCCTTTCCGGGAGAGAGGCCCTTTCCTGCGGAATGGGAGGGAAATCACCCTCTGGCCCCTGGCAGTTTCTGGCTCTCTTCCCAGGCCCTCCACAAAAACAGCCCCCGATTTTCAGAAATGTCTGGTCCGTTCTGCAGAAACCAGACTTGGGGCTGCCCCTTGTCGTTTCTGGCAGATGGCTGGAGAAGGGTGGTTTCCAAAAGGCGCCTGCCGCCCCCCTGCAACCGGTGTCCCCGCTCTCTGTGTTCATGGTAGGGTCACAGAGCTGTGTGATGCAGAACAGGGGCTTGGCCTCAGATCTAAAACAGAGGCAAAATCGCAGTGAGGATGACACGAAGCCTGCACTGCTCTGTGCGTGACCTGGACCCCTGTCCTCGCTTGCTGCGCCCCTGGCTAAGTCACTTGGGTCCTTCCACTATGAACTTCCTCCCTGGGCTGGAGGAAGCAAGAAACCAGAAGAGAATGATCAGGAAAAGACCAGCACAGTGCCTGCCACCCAGAGGGACCTCACTGGAGACACATGACACACGCTTGTAGTCCCAGCTACTTGGGAGGCTGAGGCAGGAGGATTGCAAGTTCCAGGCCAGCCTGGACAATGTTTGGAAACCTTGTTTCAAGAAAGAAAGAAAGAAAAGTGTTAGGGATGTAGTGTCCCATTCCCTGCAGCCAATGCCAGAGAAACTATAGAAGAATAAAAGCAAACAAGAGTGCGCTCACTGAGCAGTGGCCGTGGTGGTGGCCGAGAGCAGGGCAGCTGGCTGTGTCACCGCCTGGCTTTTGGGTTTGATGGAGGAGCAGGAATGTGACAAGTGCCGCCCCCGGCAGGAGGGCAGAGCATGTCTGGTGTGAGTCCCTGGAATGATCAGGAAAAGGCACGGAAGCTGGAAGCAAAGACGCGGACTGTGAGGAGACTGTGCAGCCCTGCGCACACCCCCAGCAGGACCCGGTGTGCCGGAGTCGGCTTACACGGCCCGCGCTCCCTGGCCCGCCCTGGAATGGCCGTGAACTTGTTGTTTTTCCACGTCATTTGCTCTCAAATGTACTATGGAGCTGGGCGACGCTCCGCTCCCCGGCAGCTCAGGTCCTTTCCTTGTAACAAGCGATTGTGTGTTCTTTCAAGGTGGCCACGGGGAGGAGGGGGCCCAGCCCGGGGAGGTGGGGAAAGGCAAACAAACCCTCCTTTAAGTGAGCGTGCGTGTCCCGGAGCCAGGCCCCCCAGCGCACATGCCATTTCTGGCCCTTGAAGGGGTTAAAGGCCTCCCGGAGTCAAAAACAAGCAGGTGTCCCACCGTGCCAGATACGCTGCCTAAACTGCCTCCAGCTTCCCCCTTCTGCAATAAGTCTGGGCTCAGCCACGGGACAGAGGCGCCGCAGCCCGCCGGTGACAGGCGTCAGGTTAGCTGGCTCCCACTCGGGTGGCGTGCCCAGGATATAAATCCAGGCTCGGGGCCCGCGGCGGCTCCGTCCCTACACACCGAGGAGGCCGGGTTGCCTTCTCCAGATCCTGCTTTCATCTGGAGCCGCTCTGCCCAGCAGGCTGCACTTGGAGGAGCCTTGGCCGCTGCAGCAGCCTTCAAGGGGAGACCTGCGGGCGGGAGGGCAGGTGTCGGGACCCGGGGAGGAGGAGGAGGAGGCACCGGTGGGTCGGGTCCCAGCCCCTGGCGTCCTCTCAGGGGAGGTCTCCGGCCACCCTGACCAGACCATGTGGGCCCTGGGGAGTCACCCGTCCAGGTCCCACAGGGGGCTGCTGCTCCTGCTGCTGCTACTTGGGGTGCCCCTGCCAGGCCTGGCACTGCCGCCCGTCCGCTACTCCCACGCGGGCATCTGCCCCAACGACATGAACCCCAACCTCTGGGTAGATGCGCAGAGCACCTGCAAGCGGGAATGTGAGGCAGACCAGGTGAGTGGGGCCCCGGCGCCCAAGATGTGTGACGGGGGTGGGAGCTGGGGGTGGATGCCACACCGGTGCCCCCAGGAGACCAGAGATGAGCAAGGCCTGTGCTGTGCGCTGGTGCTGACCGTAAAACGCGTGTGGTGGCCAGTTTTCTCCGAGGCTAGAAGTGCAGGACCCCACCTTCCCGTGGGCACAGGCACGTCACCTGGACTGGCACAGGCCACCTGCTCATAGGTGTAAGAATGGACGCTCAGAGGGCCAGGCGGGCCAGGATCTGTGTCCGTCCGGCGACGTTGCTGAGGTTCCACCTGGCCTCTGGACACCTCCTTGGGGTTTGGACTCTGACCCAGAGGACAGCCAGGCTGAGGAGCAGGGTGGGCAGAGCTGCTCTGAGCAGACAGTGCAGGTGTCCAGGGGAGGGCAGGGGACTGCGTGCCGGCCACCAGTCCTCAGCAGATGCTGCAGCAGCAGGGCTGGCTCCGTGGCACCACGCCCCCTCTGCTGAGGTGACCCCAGGCCATCCCTGCTCACTCTGTCCTGGGTGTGGCCAGCTCCGAGGGTGGTGCAGTGTCCCAGGCATCACGGGGGACACAAGAGACCCTCAGGTCATCCACAGAGCAGCGTAAGGCTGCCCCCGCCCCTCCGAGAGTGCGGCTCTGCCTCCCAGTACCTTGGGGACGATTTTCAGACCTCGCAGGACAGATGCTGCAAGTGGGCAGCGCTGGCACCAGGGAAACAGAGCAGGAAGGCCAGTGGCTGCCCCCATGGGCTGTGCCTCTGTTTGTGGGAAGCCTGCTTCACTGGTACAGACTGGCCTGAAAAATGAAGGCAGACTTGGGGACCACAGGACACTGGAGAAGGCAGCCAAGGCCACATGGGTCACCCATGGGCACATCACAGTCCTGGGAGCAGAAGACCTCTAAGGGCCAGGGACTTGGCTCAGTGGTTCTGCCGCCTCCCTCACAAGCGCAAGGGCCCGAGTTCGATCTCCGGTACCATTAAAAAAGAAAAGAAAAGAAAAGAAGTCCTCTAAGGATCCCTAGGGGCCCAGCTGTTCTGGGTCTCTGGGCACCACGGAGCGCCCTGGCCAAAGTGTCCCAGGGAATAGGGTGACCCTCAGGCCGCCCTCCTCAACCTCATGGGCCCCCTGCTTTAGCCCCGGCTCGGAGCACGGCCCATCCCCATCTCAAAGCCTCCCCTGGGGTGGCCTCAAAGCTGATGCCAACCAAGAGCTGCAAAACAAAGTCCCCATTCTGAGCCCAAAGGGGGAGAACAGTAAACAAGAGAGGCGGGATAGCTCGGCACACCGGGGAGGGGGCGATTTTCCCCTCTTAGCTGATGTGGAATGTCAAAGAGGCTGAAATAAAAGTCGGAAGGACAAGAGGCCAGCCCCCACGGGGAGCAGTTCTCAGAGTGACTACCTGGTGGAGGATTAGGAGCGCCGCCCGCCTCCCCAGCAGGCACGGCGTGTTATTGTCGAAAACACCACGTGAAATCCGTGTTTGTGTTGGCCCCAGGAGCATAGTGCTAATTTCGAAGAATTAAACTAATGCCTTACGGGGCTCCACAGAAGTCAGAGAGGATTACAGCCTGGCGAGGCCTCGCAGGAGGACTGGCTGACCTTTGCCACACAAGGGGATGTTTTGCTTGTTGCTTTCTCCCTGAAATGCCCCTCACAGAGCTGGGCACCAGGGTTTGGTGCAGGACAGGAGTTCCAATGTCCCGGGCCTAATGGGTCCTGGTGTCGCTGGTTTCCTGAAGGGGAGGAGAGGTGTGGGTGACAGCTGTCCCAGAGGTGACCTCTTCAGGTGATGGAGAAAAGACACAGGGGCAGCCTCCCTCTGCTGGCCTGGATCTCACTGGGGCAATCACAGCATGGGTTTCAGAGCCCCTGCTGGGAGCCTGAAGCCCGTTTCCATCACAGCCTCCCTCTGTGATATGGATGTTGACCCCCTGCCCTTGCATATTTGAATCTGTGAACGGGTGGTAAGAAAACGCCCTCTCTCAGAACCAGGTGTGGTGGCGCACACCTGTGATCCTAGCCCTCGGAGGCCGAGGCAGGAGGATGGCTGGGAGTTTGAGGCCAGCTTGGGCCACATAGCAAGGTCCTGTCTCAAAAAAGCAGAAGTTCCCTCTTGAAGGTGTGTGTAGCCGTACAACCTAGGCAAGTTGCTCGGCCTCTCTGTGGCTGAGCACCGTCCCCTGTGAAGTGGTTGTCCCACTGTGAGTGGTGACACAGCGGTGGACAGGTGTCAGGGTTCTAGGTGAGGGTCTGCTGGGCTCCACATGCGGGTCCCCTCCCTTCCGCCCCGGTGTTGGGAGCCCTCTGTCTTCCCGTGGCTCTTTCAGGAGTGCGAGACCTACGAGAAGTGCTGCCCCAACGTGTGCGGGACCAGGAGCTGCGTGGCGGCTCGCTACGTGGACATGAGGGGCAGGAAGGGCCCCGTGGGCATGCCCAAGGAGGCCACGTGCGACCACTTCACGTGCCTGCAGCAGGGCTCGGAGTGCGACATCTGGGACGGGCAGCCCGTGTGCAAGTGCAGGGACCGCTGCGAGAGGGAGCCCAGCTTCACCTGCGCCTCGGACGGCCTCACCTACTACAACCGCTGCTACATGGACGCCGAGGCCTGCTCCAGGGGCATCACGCTGGCCGTCGTCCCCTGCCGCTACCACTTCACCTGGCCCAACACCAGCCCGCCGCCGCCCGAGACCACGGCGCACCCCACCACAGCCTCCCCAGAGACCCCCGGGCTGGACCTGGCGGCCCCCGCCCTGCTCCCCCACCCAGCGCACCAGTCGGTGACCGTGGGCGAGACGGTGAGCTTCCTGTGCGACGTGGCGGGCCGGCCGCGGCCCGAGGTCACCTGGGAGAAGCAGCTGGAGGACCGGGAGAACGTGGTCCTGCGGCCCAACCACGTGCGCGGCAACGTGGTGGTCACCAACATCGCGCAGCTGGTCATCTACAACGCGCAGCCCCAGGACGCCGGCGTGTACACCTGCACCGCCCGCAACGCCGCCGGGGTCCTGCGGGCCGACTTCCCGCTGTCCGTGCTCAGGGGCGGCCGGGCGGCGGCCCCCTCCGAGAGCGGCCCCGACGGCACGGCCTTCCCGGTGGCCGAGTGCCTGAAGCCCCCCGACAGCGAGGACTGCGGCGAGGAGCAGACCCGCTGGCACTTCGACACCCAGGCCAACGACTGCCGCACCTTCTCCTTCGGCCACTGCCACCGCAACCTGAACCACTTCGCCACCTACGAGGCGTGCGTGCTGGCCTGCATGCGGGGCCCGCTGGCCGTGTGCAGCCTCCCGGCCCTGCAGGGGCCCTGCAAGGCCTACGCGCCGCGCTGGGCCTACAACAGCCAGACGGGCCAGTGCCAGTCCTTCGTGTACGGGGGCTGCGAGGGCAACGGCAACAACTTCGAGAGCCGCGAGGCCTGCGAGGAGTCCTGCCCCTTCCCTCGGGGCGACCAGCGCTGTCCGGCCTGCAAGCCGCGGCAGAAGCTCGTGACCAGCTTCTGCCGCAGCGACTTCGTCATCCTGGGCCGGGTCTCAGAGCTGACCGAGGAGGCCGACGCCGGCCGCGCCCTGGTGACCGTGGACGAGGTCCTCAAGGACGAGAAGATGGGCCTCAAGTTCCTGGGCCGGGAGCCGCTGGAGGTCACCATGCTGCAGGTGGACTGGGCATGCCCGTGCCCCAACGTGACGGTGGGCGAGGCGCCGCTCATCATCATGGGCGAGGTGGAGGGCGGCATGGCTATGCTGAGGCCCGACAGCTTCGTGGGCCCGTCGAGCGCCCGGCGGGTCAGGAAGCTCCGTGAGGTCTTACACAAGAAGACCTGTGACGTCCTCAAGGAGTTCCCCGGCCTGCACTGAGGCCACCACCTGCCCCGGCCCTCCTCACCTCCCCATCCCACGGCCCCTAAGGCCACAAACTGGGCAAGATCAGAGGAAGACAGTCACAGGCCATGGAGCCAAGGTCCACAGGCCACGGGGCCACGGTCACAGGCCACGGGGCCACAGGCCACGGGGCAGGGGAATGCCACCGAGGGTAGAGAGCCACCTCTAGTCTTTGGGGTCAGTGAAGGGTCCGTGTTTCTTTTTTTAGCCCAGGGGGACAAAGGAGAAATCACTAGACATGTGAGGGTTATTCCTGATGATCCGCCCACCACCTCCCCGGCTCCCCAACCTGAGCTCAAGAGCGGCTGACAGGTAGCCGAGTGACTCAGCTTGCAGAGGTGACATGGGGGTCACAGGTGCCCCACAACCTCCGGGCCACCATGAGCAGGGTCCACTGTGCGAAGGGTCATAGGCAGCAGGAAGCCAGAGGCACCATCAACCCAGCACACACTGCCCTGAGCAGAGGCTGTGGACATCTGTGAATTGCTCCCTAGGTGCCGGGGGAGACATCAGAAAGCTGTCCCTAGGTGCCCCACACCCACACACAAATCCCTGGGGCCCCCCCGCAGACCCAGGCTGGCACTGTCCGCTGTCCCGCATTTCCCCCTGGTGTGTGGCGGGCTCGCGGAGGCCCAAGGCTGACAGAGGCCCCAGGATCCAGTCCCAGCCGGAGGAGGTAATGGAGGACTCAAAGCTTGTGGGAGGGAGAGGAATGCTGCTCGCTGTCTCCCTCTGGTGGCCGCCGAGGCGCCCACAGGGATTTGGAGGGAGGCGTAGGTGGGGCCCAGCCGGGAAGGAAGGGGGGAGTAGCCCCCTGATGGCTTCTTTTGTGCATTTCCAGACTCCTGCGTGGGCCCCACTGCCCCACCCCTCGAGAGAGGAATGGGAGCCCCTCTGTCAACTCTGTATCTGCCCCCCTGCTCCCTCCTCTGCCCTTCGCCTGGTCCAGCAGCCACTCCCCAGCTCAGAAAGCCTCTGGGGTGTCCCCACGTCCCCGTGCTTCCTCAGTGTAGGGAGGAAGCTGCTAATTAAAAGTTCATAGCATCAGCCGCCCCTCCGGTGATTCACTGGTGCTGAAGTGGGGTGAGGGAGGACTGGTGTGGATGTCGTTCACTCCGGTGACCTTTCGGGAAAGTCCGGCCGAGACTGAATTTGAGGGGTGTGCACTGCGGATGTCCCGGCCCCTGAGCCATTGAAGTGGGGAGGGCGGGGCTTTCGCCCAGGGGGCCAGGGGTCACCTCAGGGTCCCTCCCCATGAGGACCCTTGCCCCATAGCCACCGAGACTGTCCTGTCAGAGGAGCGAGATGGGACAGCATCTGCCAGCTGTGACTCCAGGGTGCGCCTGGCACAGCCTGGCTTTGAGGGCGTGGAGAGAGCTGCCCGGAGTGCAGCCGCGGTGCCTTTGGCCTCTGGGCTCATGCGGTGCCTAGCCCTGGACGGTGTCTGGAGCACTCATGGCTCATGTGTCCCTCACAAGAGACACCTCTGCCACTGCCCAAAGGAGGAATCCAGGCCAGGCCTTGCCCAGCCCAGGCCGGCCACTCTCGCCGAGCACGCAAGGAGCTGGGCGAGGTGGCGAGTGCCTGTCATCCAGCACTGGGGAGGCTGAAGCAGGAGGATCATCGCAAGATTTTTGTTTGTTTTGTTTTTTGAAACCGGTCTCTCTGGGCCTCACTTTATAGAGACGAAGGAACACCGGGAAACACAGCCTGGCCCCAAGTGGCTTCCTGTAGCAGCCCCAGTGCCTGACTCCTAGGGTTTGGATTTGATTTGGGGCTCAGAAAATATGGGCACCTAGGGAACCAGTGCCTGAGAACTAATCGTCATTTCTGGCATTTGTTTTTCCACCCTTTAACCCACACTCAGTCTTTCCTGTGTTGCCCAGAGCTATACAGGTGCCACTTCAGGGAGTGGCAGCAGGGGCCTCACTCAGTCCAGGGCACCTGGCTCCAGCCTGGCCCTGGCCACAGTGAGCCTGAGGCCAAGGCCGAGGCCAAGGCCCACAGCTTCCCTGTCCACCGGGGACACAAGTTCCCTCCTTTCTTCTCAGGTCCCCTGGGTCCTCCCTCCCCTCCTGTCCCTCTCCCCACCCAGCCTATTCCAGCCCTGCTGTCTCCCACCAGTCAAGACCTCTGGGCCGGCAGCTGGGCCTCTCCACCCTCGGCCTCCCCCCGGGTCCCAGCCTCCTGGGACACCGCTCCATTGTCCTGCCAGCTGCTCCAGAGTCTGATCTCATTCCCTGCACAGTGGGACCAGAGAGCAGGGGCCAGAGGTTCCTGGCCAGGGAAGGGACAGCAATTTACAGCTCTTGGTGGTGTCCTCCATCTACCTGTCCCCTAACAGTACATCCCAGGCAAGGGCTCGCTGTGTGACAGGCACTGGACCCCATCCCTGTCTTCTCTGTGGCAACTGCAGGAGGCACAAAGCTACTTTGTAGGTGGGACCTAAGGCCAGGGGCAAGGGACTGGCCAGGGCCACACAGCTGCTATGGAGCAGAGCCAAGGCTCCCAGTGTCCGTGCTGTGCTGTTTGGCTTAGTGTCACACGCGCGCGCTCACACCTGCTGCAGGCTGGGCAGTGCGGAGCCTCATGGAGAGAGGGCTCAGATACCTGCAGTCAGCTGACGGGGCACCCCAGCCCTGGGGCTGTTTACTCCTGGCCATGTGACCTGTATTCCTGACACGCGCATGTGCGCACAGCCTCGGCCTAGATTCCTGAGCGAGACATCAGGCTGGTGCTTGCTCATCTCGGAGTCTGGGCTTCTTGGGGAAGCCTCTAAGGTCCAGGCTGCCTGGACCTCTTTTCCGCTTCTCAGCTTGAGCTCACTGTGATCCAGATCCCAACAGTTGCCCAGGAAGGCTTTGCGGGCCGGGCCAGGCCGTGAGAGGGGTTGGGAGGGGTTTTCAGGGCTCCCCTGCCCTTGCAGCCCCACCTCCTGGCTCCTGTTCCTCTGCCTCCCCTGCCCGGAGGAGCGTGTGATTAATCTGCCGGGACGGTGGCCGGGCTCTATTCTGGGCTGTGCCCTCATTGCGGAATGCACCCTGAGGTCACTGCGTCTGGCTGTGTCAGGGGAAGGAAGGCTGAGCTCGCAGCTGGCCCTGCTGAGCAAGGAGAGGGCAGCCGTCAGCAAGGCTCCTGCCCACCTCTCCTGGAATCTCTGTGTTCCAGGCCCAGATTCACCTGGGACCCGGAACCTTGGCTCAGAAACGAGGAGGTGGGCACTTGGGTGTGTCTGCCCTTCCCAGGTCTTTGGCCACTGCCAGGGCCCTGCTGGGATGAAAACAGACCCATAGGATTGCCATCTGATTTGGGCAGAGCGGCACCTCCAGTGTGTTCTCCAACCTAATCCTCATGGCTGTCTTTTTTTTTTTGCAGTACAGGGGATGGAACCCAGGGCTCACAAGGGTTTTACCACTGAGCTACAGCCCCCAGCTTTTTAAAAATTTTATTTTGAAGCAGAATCAGGTCAGCCTTGAACTTGCAATTCTCCTGCCTCAGCCTCCAGAGTAGCAGAGATTACAGGTGTGTGCCATCACATCTGATTTTCGTGACCCTTTTTGTTTGTTTGTTTATTTTTGGTACCAGGAATCAAACTCAGGACCTCATGCTTCAGGCAGACACTGTGCCCCTCCCTGAGCTACCTCCCTGCCCCTCATGACCCTTTTTAAACTGGATACTATCTTGCCATTGCACCATTGAGTAGATCCCTCCCTAAATTACAGCCTTCAGGAGGCCAAGATAATAAGTGCTTTGCCCACTAGCATGAGATCTGGCCACCTAGGGCGTTGGAGAAGTATTTCTTGAATGAATGAACTAAGCGAGCCATAAACATTTCATGGAGGAAGAAATCCCATCTTCAGTGTTATCCACCACCAACCCCTATTTTGATTACTGTCATCCCAGCACTCAGGAGGCTGAGGCAGATCACTGTGAGTTCGAGGCTGACCTGGGCTACATAGCGAGATCCTGACTCAGTACATACGTAAATAAATGTTTCCATCATCACAGAAACATCTGTTATGTAATCATGTTGCCAAGGATTCTTGCTCAGTATTCTTGTTCTCTTCAGCAGAGGGCTCAAGCCAGGTCAGGGACCATCTCTGGTGGCCTTCACCTCAGCTCCTGCCCTGCAGGACTCCAGGGACTTCCATTTTATGAGTCACTTGCTGGCGTGCTGCCCCGTGATCCTACTGCCACCAGAACTGTGGGCTCTTTCACCACTGCCATTGTCCCCAGGCCCCATACCAGCCTCAAAATGCCCCATCTTTTCTCCCAGGGGGCACGCAGGCCTTCAAGGAGAGCCCTTGATGGTGTTGCTCAGCTTCCCAGAGTTCCTGAAAAGGTAGACAAATAACCACACACACACACACACACACACACACACACACACACCCCTGAGCCTGGTGGCCCAGCCAGCAGAGAACAGTGTTGAGTGCAGATGGGGACCGTAGGGACCTCCTGGGAGCCTCCTTCCTTCATTCCTGGCCCCGGATCTGAGCCTTCTTGGATTAAGCGCCACCCCCACCTCCATACACCAAAGGGGAAGGCAGAATGAGGGGACCTCCTCGGGGCCCTTGTGCTGCTGACAACTAAAGAGAAGGATCATCGCACAATCATCACAACCAGTAATTTTGCTCTGTGACCTAACAGGCAAGATTTAGAAATGAGACACAGTCGGGAGCCCTAGGCCGAGAGCAGCCATCACCAATTAGACACGGCGTGGTGGAGCTGGCAATTTTCTTTCGTGTGCAAGTATATATGGTACTAAGGATCGGACTCATGGCTCCACATGGAGCTACATCCCCAGCCATTTTTAAATTTTTCTTAATTGTGAGACAGCGTCTTCCTAAATCATGAAAGTTGCCCAGCCTGGGCTCAAGCTTGGGGTCTTCTTGCCTCAGCCTCCCAGAGTTCTGGGGTTTCAGTTGTGACCCACCATGATCTGCTGACAGTCTCCATTTTAAGAGCTAACAGCACTTAATGCTTGCCTGACATGCATTGTCTCATTAAATATTTATGAGCCTGTGAAGTGCATTTGATATTTTCCTCATTTCGGACAGGAGGAAACAGGCTTTGTGGGGAGGGGTGGGATAATTTGCCCAAGGTCCCTGCCAAGCAGGAAACAAACCTAGGTGGGGCTCTTAACCACAGGGAGAGTGTCTTCCACCACAGATTGTTTTGTTTTGTTTTGTTTCGTGACACAGGGTTTCACTCTGTAGACCAGATTGCACTTGAACTCACTGTGCAACCCAGGCTGGTTTCAAATTTGCAGCGATCCTCCTGCCTCAGGCTCCCTAGTGCTGGGATTACACAAGTGTGCCACCACGCCCAACCCCCGCCCCCATAGATTTCAGAATAGTCAGAAATGGAAGCCAGAAGTGATCTGAAATGCCAGTAACCCCAGGAGGAGGCTGAGGCAGGAGGGTTGAATTCGAGGCCAGCCAGGGCTACAGAGCGAGACCCTGTCTCAAGGAAAACGTTTCTTCTTTCACTTTTGCTTCCTCTTTTCTTCCTGGTAATCAACCAGGAAGTCTGAATTTCTAGGACTCCCACGAAAAGGCATGTTCAGAGCCAGCTGACCTCCTCCTCCCCGTGTGTGGGGAAAAGGATTATGCTTGACGCTTTGCGCGTCTCGGTGCTCATCACACCAGCCCAATAGTACAATTTTTCTCAGGCCTCGGTCAGCACTGAAGGGGCTGAGGCAGCAGCGATGAGGCGGGCGCGTTCCGGACCGCTCCCCCGCCAGCGCCGTCCTCGGACCCACGCTCGTCCAGTCCCGGGAAAACGCGTCTGCGGG